ACACACACACACACACGGTGAGGGTTATGGTTAAAAGTGAAAGCAGAACTCTACAAAGCAATGGAAATCAACTGGAAGAAAGAAAGACAAAAGAAGTGACTGTGTGATTATTTAACTCCTAGAAGTCTGTTTCTGGACCTGAGTGGTTCTCCTGCTGCACATTGAAGGGAAACAGTTAAGACGTGTGTGTGTGTGTGTGTGTGTGTGTGTGTGTGTGTGTACTGTATTACATGTGTGCTGTAGCTCCTGTCTACAGCTACATGGTGGTGACCTGCCTCCCTTTAACAGGACGTCCCCAGAACCTGACTGATCCGTCTCGTAGTTCAGGGTTGGGGGGTTCTTGTCAGTGTCCTGGTCAGTCTCCACCAAATGCAGACATGAATGTTAGTGACTGCTGTGTCCTCTGAAGTGAAGGAGCTCTGACTGGTGCCTTTAGAGAATCCTCAGACAACGCTGCCACCCAGTGGCCACCTGCAGGCGTTTCACCACTGGGCTGCTCCGTGCAGGCAGCTTGTTCTCAGGGACGGCGGGTCGACTTGTGAGCAGCTGTTAAGTCAGGACTACAGTTCACTCCTGTGTAGTCTGACTCACAGGATGGAGGCTGTCGGTTTACTCAGACTGACAGCAGTCGATGGATGGATGAACCAGGAAGAGCAGCAGAACGACAACATCACATTTATTTAGATGTTTACAACTCTGAAGCACATATACGCGTATTATTATTATAAAGACTGATACACTCCAATCCACAACAACTTCATGGTTCACAGAGATGTATTCAGTGTGTCTGCTCTCTTGTCTGTGACAGTTATCATCAGTTTCTGATGTGATCTGAGTCAGAAGAGAACACCAGAGCTGCATACGAGGTGGTCGGTTTAAAGCCAAACGTCCTGCAGCTGGATGCTGGTGAGGAGCAGCCAGGCTAACCCTAACCCTGTGCCCTGCAGGATGGGACCAGTACCTGTCGTATCAGTGTGACTGCTGCCCAGAACACGAGCAGCAGTGAGTTTCTAGGAGCAAGAAAACATGTGATCCACATGTTCACACAATGCTGAGGGCTTCACATAGAACCAGAGCCAGACAGACGGGTCAAACACGTGCTGGCATGTTTTCCAGCTGCTCAGGACTTCTTATCAGCACTGGGTTAGGATCAATACTAATGAGCTCCGTGTCTGTGTGAGTAAGAAGAGCCTTTTACTGACACCATGACCACACTGACTAGCCGGATGTTGTCCTCACAGGTGCACCATCAGCATGCCAGGAATGCTTCCAGTCATTCAGCTGTGCGGCGCTGAAGGGAACAGGCTGGGCCGCTGATGGAATGTGATAATCCAGGACAGCACTGGTTGCACTGGTTATCAGGCACAGGACTGGGTGCAGGCCATGAGAAGGAAACGTCTGCTGAAAGCTGTTTGCAGAGCTCCTCAGATGCTGCTGCTGTGGTGTGACTGGATGCTTCATGTCTGGGCCGGTCTCTGTGCATCACGCTGAACGTTTCACCGGGACGCTCCACATGACTTGCAACAAAACAAACTTCCTTGTTCCTTGTCGCACTTGTTCTGAGGTCCTAATGAGAAAACGGGAACGCCCATGTGTTGGCTAGAAAAGTGAAGTGACAGGAAGAAAAGAATCACATGTGAGCAGAACAGCACCGGCCGGGTCCGCTGAGCTTCTGGCTTCTCAACATGAGCGGGATGAATGATCACGGTAAGAGGCAGCAGTGACGGAGGAGTGGAAATATATTATCATTATTATATTAGTGCTCAGCTGCTTAGAAAGAACCACGATGGAATAAGAGCCGTCAGGATGAGAGGCTTAAACGTGACATACATAACTTTATATTTAACTTTATTGTCCTTTCAGCGTCTTTTGTGCAGTTTTCTTTGTTCTTTTTTTCCCCACATGTCGTGTGAAAGAGTAGAATGTGAAACTAGCCATGACTCTACAGCTGCTGATCCCAGCTGTTCTTCAGGACTTTAGCTGGTCGGAGGGTTACGGGTCGGGTTGTGAGCTGACTGTAGATGTCGGAGCTGAATCACTGATTTGTGTATCAGGTACTGTGTTGTGACCCTTTGGGGAGTCAGACATGTTCAGATGACAAACATTTGATCCTCTCTGGAACCTAGCGGTAGAGATGATGTACCTGAACAACATCAAAAAGCAGATCATCAGTCATTTATCACATCTAATAATGACAAACAGAAAGAAGCTGGAACTCCCACTTTAGCTGAAGTCACTCCTTCATAAATGTCCATCAGTCACTGGCATCAGCTGGTGGTTTGGTTCTGTGCAGCAGAACATCTTCTGGTTGAAGATGTTTGAGGTTTTCGTGCACACAGAGCCTGAGCTTTCTGTCTTCGGCTCTCGTGCCGACCAGATGCGTCCAGTCTGGTTCTGATTCTGAACGCAGCACTTTGACTCCTCCCACTACGGACTCTAATTTAAAACTCTAACAAAGTACCCAGGTTCTCATTTATTTAAATTGTAGAAACTACTGTGAAATGTCAAGTTGATGTTGTTTGTTGGGTTGTTTTTGTCAGCTCTACCTGTGGGCTCTGATGTTTTCATGTAACTGTCATGAATCCGTGACTCGGCTCAACAGGTCACATGTCAGGATGGATTCATACCTTAGTCAGGTGCAGCGATCCTGGAATTATTTTGTTGTACAGTCATTTAGAAAAGTGCTTTTCTAATGAATAGAGTAATTATATTGGTTATATTTATGGACCACTGCTGGTCTGCATCTCCACCAAACTTCATTGTTGGTTTCATATTCAAGTCAGAGTCACACCACCGATGGCAGATCAGAAGGCTGCATGCAGTCAACACTTGTCTTTGATTTAGTCTTTGGCAGAACAGCATGAAAACAGGACAGACCAGATTCAGACAGGAAACTGTTGGAGTCCCACCGCAAAGCTCAGTCAGGCAGCTCTGCTCTCAGACATTTAATCATGTTCGTGTCCGTTTCTACTTTCACTGGCCAAAATAATTAATCATGTGTTTGTTTGTTTTCTGTTTGTCTGCTTTGCTGCTGTGTGTCTAATGAACTGGGAGCTTCTTACAACATGTTCAATGTAAATTATTGTAAGGATCTAATCTTCTCAGCCAGCGTGAGGACTGAGAATTTAGGTGATGGAGAGCTGGTGGTGCAGCTCTATGAGCAGCACCAGGACCCTGCAGGATGGTTCAGAGGAGTCCAGGTTAACCTACACTGTGTTACTGGATGAACTCGGTGTTAGCAGATGAGTTATGCAGCAGGTCTGGTTTCAGACTGAATAATGGAGTCACTCTGACACTACAACCAGCTCATACTTGTCTGCCTTCGAGTAGCTTCATTGTTGTTGCGTAACGCAGTCATGTGAGAACCAGGACGCTCCGAGTCGTCTGACTTGTTGGATGTCAGTCATTCCTAACCAGTTAGATAACATCAAAACTGCCCCGTCACGAGCTAAACAGAGACTGTTTGTTTGTTTGTAGGTATTCCTGAACTGATCAGCTGTCTCACAGTGACTATGCTTTTATTTTGAAACAGCTGAGACTGTTTCCTGCTGTGAGTGCTCTCTGCTCCCGGCGCTGCCGCCCTGTATGATGATGAACAGTGTATTTCTCTCTGACAGGGTACAAAGGTGCCACAGATCTATACGAAAGGAGGATTGTTCTGGTTGGGAAGACCGGCGTGGGCAAGAGCGCAGCAGGAAACACCATCCTCGGGAGGGAAGCCTTCGAGTCGGACCTCTCTCCGTCCTCCCTGACGGCTGAATGCCAGAAAGCAAAGGGAGACGTTGACGGTCGGAAGGTCGCCGTCATCGACACCCCGGGGCTGTTTGACACAAACTTCACTCAAGAAGAAGCGCTGAATAGGATCAAGATGTGCATCTCACTGTCTGCCCCTGGTCCTCACGTCTTCCTGGTGGTTCTTCAGCTGGGCAGGTTCACCCAGGAGGAGAAGGACACAGTCAAGATGATTCAGGCCACATTCGGTGAAGATGCAGCCAAATACACAATGGTGCTGTTCACACATGGAGACCAGCTGAAGAAGCAAACCATAGAGGGCTTCATTTCAGAGAGTCCCGACCTGAAAGTTCTCATTAAAACGTGCTACAACAGATACCACGTTGTCAACAATGAAATCAAAGATTCCCAGCAAACCAGTGAGCTCCTGGACAAAATTGACAAGATGACCATGGCTAACAATGGCAGCTGCTACACCAATGCAATGTTTGAGAAGGCAGAGGCAGCCATAGAGAAGGAGAAGGAGCGGCTTCTGAAGGAGATGGCGGCCCAGAGGCAGAAAGAGCTGGATGAGCTGAGAGCCAGATATGCAGGAAGGGCCTTCTTCAGGGAGGAGAGGTGGGTGCACATGAGGTACGAGCGTGAAGCCAGGTCTCGAGCCGAAAGGTCCAATGACTTCACCGCAGCACCAACCATAGCCGTAGCGACAGCCTGCGGTGCCGCCATTGGAGGCGTGCTGGGAATTGCAGGAGGTCCAATCGGTCTGGCCATTGGAGTTGCAGCTGGAGCTGCAGCTGGAGCAGCTGTTGGTGCCATAGCAGTGAGAGTCTCCGATCGCTGCCATGTGCAGTAAAGACGATGAGTCGTCATAATCAGCTTCTGCAGCTCAGAAAACAATCTTTGCACACGATTTGCATCAAAGAGGACTTTCAGAATCACTCTTCATCACTAAGCTTTAGAATTTGTAGCAGAGAACCAATCAGCCTGTATGATGCTGTGTCTGTAGCAGAATGTTTTATAGTAATAATGAGTCCTAATGACTGATGGAGCAAACGTGTCGCGTTTAAATGACCCTCTTCAGCTGTGTTTGGGATCCTGTACATGCAGCTGAGCAGCTGTCGTTGTTTTATTGAGTCCATGAAGGTTTGCATGTATGTGGATGTTTGTAAGTAGCTCAGGATGTGTGATGGACAGTCGGCATGACATCAGGACACTCACACTTGTTTCATGCACCTTGTATGTATTCCACATGCTTGGTCCTGTAGGTT